GGCTACTCTTTTACAAACGAATGGTGGGATTGTCCATAACATTATAACGCCCCACGGCTGAAAAGGCGAGCATGTTTGGTGTGACGGGGATTGAATCCTCGCTTCCGACAAACAAAGCGTGTGCTGTGCCATAAGAGCCAAAACCCAAATAGTGTTTTCACATATGCAGCTTTATTAGGTGTAATACTATATGTATGAGAATGTTATATGTTTTGAACAAATAAATCATTTAAATAATGCTATTGTTTTATCACGTAATTGGACAAACAAGCACTTACTAAACAGAATATGGACTTGTCGTATTTAAATTCAAAGTAAAGAAATGTGAAAACGTTGAATGACTATACGAAATATATCTCTGTACACAACATTTTTGTTTTGTATAAACACCTTGTCTTTGTGGCTAATCGCCATCTTTGACTAAGATCTAGATATTTTTTTCGATCGAATTCTTGATAAAGCAACGTTATGCAAAAGTAATGTTTTTAAATTATGCTATCAAGAAGTGTAAACAATCAACTGTCTTTCTTTGTCCTATTATTTTTTTCCTTCTATAACGGTATGAACTCTCTTTTTTGTTCACTCCCCTCTAAAGTAAAGCCGTATATATAGAGTTTGGATAACTGTCTTTGATAGTTCCAGAACTGACACCCCCCCCCCCCCACATGGCGCCATTTTAGATCCATTTGGAATGAACAAACTTTCTCGACAGCAGACGACATTTTGGCCGTGAAAAGGAGTGGTGGTCAGAATAGCCTCGGAAGCATTAAACAGACGGTTTTAAATTATTAGTTCAAGTGGGATGAAGAGATCGAAGGCGTACCTGACCCACCCAGGTCCACGAAAACCTAAAACCCGGTGCCGACCGAGCAGACGACACAGTATGTAAACACAGCACTTTCTATAAAGGCACTTAAATACCGATTCGCAAAAAATAGTGGTGCCTGGGGTTGCAGCAATCGAACAGAAATAACAGTACCCGCTTGTTTGGCTTTCCGGCAGATCTTGAAAGGAGAAAAATTTGGGAAGCGAAAGCTGGAAAGGCAGATTGGAGATCGCATGCAAACAGAACCAAACTGTTTGAGGTAATGTAGATGGAGCAACAGAAAGGGGGCTAAATTTTACTCATTTTAGATAACTTTTTCTAAAATCTATTTGAAATGTGGAATAAAACGCATCCGTATCACGGAAAAATCCACGCTGGGGTGTTTCAATATCTCAGAATTTGAATCGGAGGTTGACAAAAGTCACTTAACTCAGCCTAATGTTATACTATTCCTATGATCTGTTACGTCTCTGGTCGTTTGTAATTATTTATTTCCAGTTAACTGTGTCTATTATCTTCAATCTCTCTATCTGCTACTCCAGTTACGATTAATCGTCTCACTTTATCTGGCATGCTTATATACAGGAATGGAGGGCGTCTAGCAAATACTGGATTATTCGTGATGTTCCCTGATCCTTCTAGAAACTCATCAGGTGTTACTAGCGTCACGTGAGTTCCGCTGTCGTAACACTGCCCCTTCCTTATTATTGTTTGTCCAGAACAATAGCCACTTAAATTAAACCAATAGATTATTAACAATAATTTAATTAAATGTACAGAATTTGCAGACACACAAAATTAAAATTCAACAAAGTCTCTTAATTTTATGGGATGTATCTTCTTCCATACTGGTCTCTGTCTCGTTGGCTTCTGCTTCATGTAAAGTTCATCTGCTCCATCAGGTAATGTCCTATTATCGGCAATAGTCACATCAGTGATAGTAACTTCATTAAGGGCTTCACTGTTTCCCTTCTCAAAACCGAGTAGAGAATTTTCTTCGACAGTGGCTTTTCCAGGTGACACGTCTTCAGCAGTGTCATTTGTCCGTTTCCACTTCGTCCAACTGAAATGTCCTGGACCGTGATAACG